ACAAACTAGGCACAGACCCGGATACGCAGTACTGCCACTCCCAGCATACACACGTCTGTTGAAGGTAGCGGATGGTTGAGAGAAGAAAAACAAATAAAACGATGCTTTTAAAAATTTTTTTTTATTTAAAACTGGATTATTAGGCAGGATTTATTGTTTCTAAAATGACGTGACGGCTTATCCACTACAGGCCGTCTTTGCGTAACACAGATAACAAACGGAAGCACACAACAGTTTACATTTACGCAGAAGATCAATGCATAACAGCAAGAGTCATGGCTAACTGCAAATAATAATCAGATAGGAAAGACTTTACCTTAAAGAAAAAAAAGACAGGGAGTTAATAGAGACCCCGATTGTGAGTTAATCTAGGCAAATATCCTGGTAAACTCGAGCCCAGTTTTACTCACGATTTTGATTAATGTTATCGTCGTTCCCCTTATTTTTATTTCCTACCTAATCATTCTTAGCAGTCAACCGTGGCCCTTGCTGTTATGCATGGACAGCTTTGGCTAGCAAACTTGCAGTTAGTTGCCCACACAAGCAAAAATGCGAGTCCCAGGAAGTAATTAACAAGACGCAGATGTGATTTCTGCTATTGTTTCCGAGGATAGACAATCAACGGATTTCGAAAAGTCAGGTTAAAACATTCTTGTCCCAGCGATCGCATCCGTTTCTTCTCAACTAGATCGTGGGAGTCACGTTTTCGCTTGTATTGACAATATTTAGCTTTGCCAGATTGAGATTCTATCCTAAAAACCATATCTGATTGTCGACCAGTTGCCTTGATTTTATTCAACTTTTTAGGCTTCTCTCCTCGACTTTTCGTTCGTAAAGATGGCAGACTTTTAGCAAGCTGTGAAGGCTGTACATAAAAATCACACTGCGATCTTCTTGTTGTCTGGCCCTTTGCACCGGGTTTCTAAGTATTGGTTCAGTTTTCGCTGACATATGAATTTGTGCGAAGTGCGGCAGTTACTGTACAAGTCTTATTCTTAGCTTCTCAGTAAGCGATTTTTTCGAAAACAGTAGTTTAGGTAGTGCACCTCATATAGCTTTAGTTCCAGAATTTTGTACTACGGAAACGGTGGTTATATGATTTTATGGGTGAAGAATTAGGATAGTCAGTTGAATAAACCTTAATAAATGCATTGTTCATTTTTATTTTATTGTAGCTATAAATAACCTTGATTGATAACTGCAGAATTTCCTAATCTGTATAATCGTTTAACGTATCGCAAAAAAAATCCCGATAGTAAACATGCAGATTTTTCGAAATTCCTCTAAAAATTTGAATGGTGGTTTACTGATTGGCTCAGACAGTGGATTGGCGAGATGGAGAACGAAGAGGGCATGAAGTTAACTTTCGGTGAATATTCCTCATTAGAAACAATTTAACGTGCTTGAATCTATCACGGATAGGCAAAAGCTGTGGCTAAGAAGGCTGCTTATTGACGAAAAAACTCGGCCTTCCTCGCAGGACGGGGAGTTAGGCAGCCGCTGCTACCTCATTAATTGGCCTCTGCTCAGTCGGGATTGCAGACGCCTGCCTGTTTGTGTGAAATCGTGGCCCATTATGAGTGGACTAGGCGTTTTTGGCACGCTAAGTCTGACCGTTTGGCTCTGCCCCACTGGGGCCGAGTTCTTCACCGGTGAGGCGGGCGAGGGAGAGTGTGGTAGAGGATCCAAAAGTCTATCATCAATATAAACAACTTCCAGACAAGTTCCCGTCTCTGCACTCCACCTACTGTGCGATACGGTAGAAATCGTCGGACCACCTGTATCAGATAAATGATCGGCTTAGACGATTGCCTGGTGCTGGGGGGCGGGGTCGGTGATTCAGCACACATTCCGTTCTATAAACAATCTGATATGCTTAGAGTTATCAGTGAGCGTTAAAAACCGTGACTTAGAAGATTGCTAACTGACGGGATAACTTGGACCGCGTCTGTTTGGCTGGAGTAGCTGACTGGCGGACTAACAGTCAGGCTGCAATGACTCATTTTTAATATGGCTTCTACAGCCCTCCCATTCAGCTGGGATCCGGGTCCCCCGTGGCTGTTATTTTCTGATTTGTGGTGGCCCACAGTGCGTGAGCCTGCGCCCTATCCTATCTCCAGTCTTGTTGACTCTGTCTTTGCACCGGAGCAGGTTGGGGGAAATCGATGAGAGAGTGAAGTAAATGCAGCGTCAATCTACGCTAACTATGATCCATCGCAAACCACCATCTCTGCATCACCCTGATGTCGAGCGCAGGATGGACTTCATTGAAACCGACCGTCGAACTGTCATGGTGGAACTCGTCAACCCTTTTGTGAGTTACTGAATTCAGTGAACAGCCGCTTAGATGGAATGAGTCAAGCCAACGTTTG